TGTTCATTCCACTGAGCGCCATAGATAAAAATATATGTTTCGGTTTGCCCTCAACCTGACGGACCGCCAAAAAGGGGCGTCTCAGATTTTTGCTATGATTTTCCTTCTTTTTTTTACAATGCATTGTAGTCGCTGTACAATTATATATAATTGTAGGCGGCTACAGTATATGTACAGAATAACAACAAACATACAATGGTATTTTCCCACACAGCACACCCATGGGAGACACCATGATGAGTTGTGAAACAGCCCTCAAGAAAAAGCCTACCTATCTACAACTTTTCAGTCTGGGTCGGGTTGAGGGCAAACAAAGATTTTTTAACTTGTGGCTGAGATTCCGAGAACAGAGGTGTTAGACAGCGAAGTCACTCGGACAGGATGCGTTGTAAGAATCAGCCAACCGATAGAGTGAACACACGGTAGTTGTGGGAATAAAACGTACGGTTATGTTGGATATGAAAACAGACGGCCCTATGTTGGATGAATCAGAATAGTGCTATGATGGATGAAAAAGATACGCGTATGTTGGATGAACAAAATACGGCTATGATGGAATGAACAACATACGGCTATGATGGAATGAATCAACTCGGCTATTGATGCGAAATGAACAACATATGGTATGATGAATGACACACATGTTTTAAAAGGACTTGGCCGGGGGCAAAGAGCAAGACAAGGGCTAGAGGCATCCATCTACTACATGTGGGAGAGCCCGGCTATAGTGAGGTTACGTCACGTGAGTATAGAAATTATAAAAAATATTTCCACTTTCGGTCACAACATATATAGTAATTCTGTTCACTTTTATGGGTAAATTGACTGATTATATTTTATTTTACTATATTGTTTCGATGTGAATACATCGTGACTTACTAGGCCATAGCAAGCATTAATGTCCAGGAAATAATATCAAATCGTCCAGGTTTTTTGGGATTTTTGTAGATATTGAGAAACAATCATCTATCAGGGTAGAAGATTGACAATACGTTCGGTCCCGCTTAGTTTTACTATTCAATGCTTAAAAAAATAGGCAACAAAATTTCGTGTACATATGATTACATAGAAAAGTCGTTGACGTATCATTTACAACCCGGCCAGCCAATGAAAAGATCGACAGAACAAGCATCAGAAGACGAACACGATCCCGGGCTTACCGCACAAGGCACGGAAGCAGCGAGCGAACCAGATGGCATGTTGACTTGAGCAGATGTTGTAAGCGACGTGCTGTAGCCGCGCGGCCTAACGTGGCGCGGGCAGGTACGGGATCCTAGGGGGATGACACCGCCGTACTGACGTCGAGCCTCATTAGAGTCGTCACTGAGTCTAGCATGAGGTCTGCTCTCTTCGGACCGCTTAGCCCGCCGTGCCTCCTCCTCCTCCCGCTTAGCCGCCCCTCCTCCGCGCCACGCTGGGCAGTTCCGCCTCGCTCGCGGTCGTGTCGTCGCTTGCGGCCGGTCCGTCGCTTGCCGCGGGGCGCAGACCGCCAGGGAGGCACAGGGGGGCTGGCTGGCCCTCTTTCCCTGCCCAAGAGAGTATCGACCGTCCGGCCTTCGTTGGTCCAGGCTCGTATGGGCTTCGTCTCATCACCGGTATCCAACCTACTATTTTTATGTGCTGCACGTCGAAAAAAAAAGTCGTCACCGGCACATGGAGAACGGTCGTCAATCGGGAAGGGGGGGGGGCAGCACTCTCGGGAACACGAGAACCGCAGGAAAAACAGGAGACATAAGATAGGAGACAGGACACGACAGGCGAGGGAGGGGACACGCGCGAGGAGAAGAGGCAGGGAGGAGGAGGAAGAGGAGGAGGAAGGAGAGAAGGAAGGAAGGGCTGTAGGGTAGGAGGAGAGGAGGAGCAGGCCGGACGGAGGAGAGAAGTTAGAAGAGACGAGGAGGGGTGAGGTGGGATGACGAAGGGTGACAGTTGCCCTGGTACCTGGGTCGGAGTCGCTAGTGAGGAGTCTGGATTGGCGCTTGCTCGGGGTGACTCTTCGCATTTCTGCTGAAGTACTGAACGCGGCTCGTCTGAACCAACAACGCTCGTCACAGCCGCTCTAGCGTCTGGCATAACATGCATTGCGTCACAGTCCGCTCTTACGTCTGATAACATGATCGATCTCGGCCCGGCTAGACGTATGCAATACACAATGAGTTCGCTCACAGTCCAGCTCTACGTTGAATAAACTGCATCGTCCAGCCCGCTCTGACTGTCTGCAATTACGATCAATGACATCGTAGGCACCCGCTCTACGTTGCAATACAACCATGCATCGTCAGCGGGCGCTCTGTCTGCATTATCACAATTGCATCGTCACAGCCCGCTTACAGTACTGCCAATACACAATGCGGTCAGCGGCCGCTTACCGTCCATGCAATACGAACACGCATCGTCAACAGGCACCGCTGTACATGTCTGCAATACAACAAGTGCATCGTCACAACCCGTCTACGTCTGCAGTCAAAACGAACTGCATCGTCACAGCCAGCTCTACGTTCTGCAATTCACAACAATGGCATCGTCAGATTGCTAGCCGTGTACGTTGCAATACAACAATGCATCGTCGCGGCACGTCTACACGCAGTCTGCGCATTACACAAACGCAATGTCACAGCCGCTCTCCGTCTGCAATTACACAATGCATCGTCACACACGCTTCTACGTCTGCAATACAACACATGCATCGTCACAGCAGCTCTAACGTCTGCTAACACACCACTGCTATCGTCATGCTAGCTCTACCGTCTGCGATACAATACAATGCCATCGATCATCAGCCAGCTCTTATGTCTTGCATCAACAAATGATCATCCAGCCTACGCTTACTGTCTGCATACACATGCTCGTCACGGCCGCTCTAGTTGGCAATACCAATGCATCGTGCACAGTCCGCCTCTGTTGCAATAAAAATATGCATCGTCCAGCCGCTCTAGTCTGAATTAATACATGCATCGTGAAGCCCGCTCTCGTCTGGCAATACCAAGTGCATCGATGCTAGCTCTTACCGTCGTGCAATACAGCAATGCATCGATCACAGCGCCGCTCTACTGTCTGCCAAGTACACAATGGCATACGTCAATCGGCCGCTCTACGTCTGCATAACACTGCATCGTCACGGCCCGCGTTCGGTCTGCAACTACAACAATGCAATCGTCACCGGCCAAGCTCGAGTCCTGCAATAAACAATGCATTCGTCACAGCCCCGCGGTTCTGACGTCTGCACTACAACAACGCATCGGGTCACGGCCGCTCTACGTCTGCAATATCAACAATGCATCGTCACGGCCGCCTACGTCTGCATCAACAATGCTCGTCAACGGCGCCGCTCTCGTCTGAATACACAATGTGCATCGTGCACGCCCGCTTCGTCTGCGGAATACACACTGCATGCTCCGGCCCGCTCTACGGGATCTGCAATAAAACAAAAAACAAAAACGCTCGTACAGGCTGCCTGCGACGTCTGCAATCAACAACACTGCATCGCTCACAGCCCGCTATCTATGGTGCAATACAACAAGCATCGTCACAGCGCCGCTCTAGTTGCAGATACGACAATGCATGTCACAGCCACTCTACGTCGTGCAATAACAATGCATGTCACAGCCCGCTCTACGTTCTGACCCTGCCCAGGCTACGGCACCGCCTAACACGCAGCGCACAGACAGATCCTAGCAACAACAATACGACAACAATATATAATAGACAACAATACGCAGACAAAGGAGTAGGAGCCGCGACAAACGATGCATCGCCCTCACACGACAAACCGGTCGCGCCCCTATATCGGGATGTGCAGCACCCATACCTTCTATGAACGTCTGCTTTTTACGGCACGGGAGGGTAGCGTTAGTCGTCGATTCTTCCATCTGTCCGCCGGCCGCCGCCACTGCGGTTCGAGCGCTCGCGCGGACTTCTTCTTTGTGGGGAGGTGTTGCGAGGCGCCTGGAGGAGAGGGGGAGCACTCGTGATCGCGCTGAACGTTGGCAGGTGTGAACTTACTATGGGTGTGTTATGTTAGCAGGATAGTGCTTACTATGTGGCGTGTATGTTAGGCGGGATGTGTTACTAATGTGGTGTGTTATGTTAGGCAGGGTGCTGGCGTTATATGTGGGAGTGTTATGTTAGAGGTCTCCGGTGTGCTTCGAGTGTGGGTGTTATGTTAGAGCAGGGGGTGCTTACTTGGGGCTGTCGTTGGTTTGGCAGGAGGCGCAAGGTGGTGCAACTTACTATGTGGACTGTGTTATGTTAGACAGAGGTGTGTGCTTAAATTATGGGGCTGTGTTATGTTAGGCAGCGGTGGTTACGGATGTGGTGTGTATGTTAGCAGGGCTGTGATTACTATGGGTGTGTTATGTTGGGCAGGGTAGTGGTCGATGGTGGGGCTGTTATGTTAGCAGGGACTGGCGTACTACTGGGGGGGTGGTTATGTTAGGCAGGGTGTGCTCACTATGTGGCGTGTTATGTTAGGCAAGGTGTGCTTCACCGTTCACTCTCACCAGAGACATGTTATGTTGTGTGCGTCCGTGCGTCCGTGTGTGCATGAGTGCGTTTCTCCACGTGTGAGTATGTGTAAGAGAATACCTTTACTGTCACCAGTGACATCTTGGGGTTATGCGTGCGTGCACACGCGTGTGTGTGTGCGTGTGCGTGCGTGCGTGAGTGCATGTGTGTGTGTGTGTGTGCATGTGTGTATGTGCATGCATGTATGCGTGTGCGTGCGTGCGTGCGTGCGTGGGTGCATGTGTGTGTATGTGTGTGCATGTGTGAGTGCGTGTGTGTGTGCATGTGTGTATGCGTGTGCGTGCGTGCGTGTGTGGGTGCATGTGTGTGTGAGTGCGTGTGCGTGCATGTGTGAGTGCGTGTGTGTGTGTGTGTATGCATGTGTGTATGCGTGTGCGTGCGTGCGTGCGTCTGTGGGTGGGTGCATGTGTGCGTGCATGCGTGAGTGCGTGTGTGTGTGTGTGCATGCGTGCGTGCGTGCGTGTGGGTATATAACTTCACATGCTCACCAGCGACATCTTGGGGTTGTACGTGTGTGGGTATAACTTCTCCTCGGCACGCACGCCCTGGTCGCGGCACGCGTGCAACCACGAGGGTGCCACCACGTACTTGCCCTTCTGCCGCGCCGCCCGCAGCTCCTTGTTGTTGTCACTCGCCTTTCCCTGCAAGCATAGCAACGTCAAAACATGGCCACCAGGTGGCGCCGCAGTCGCACCGGAATGCGACGCCGGCGGCGGGGAATCGCATTGTGGGGTTACACAATGCGACAGTGGCGCCCGCAGATAGAAGCACTGGAAGCACAGTGCTTCCAGTAAATTTTGGGTTAAAAATTTTGTTCCTACAGTTTGTTCCTAAATCACTCTCGCAAGACTCACCAGATTGCGTCTCCAGACGTCTACCATTCAAAAATTTTCAGGGGGGGGGCATGCCCCCAGACCCCCCTAGCATGCAGCGCACCTGCTTTTTATTATCACTGAGGATTTTATCCTTCTGTGCTTCTACTTTCTTAAGACCTGTGGGCGCCAGTGCGACGCGACACAACGTGACAGAGCAGGTAAAGTGAAGCGACGGCACACCTGGTGAATGGCAACCAGGTGTATTAACGAACGACCGTACCTCGTAGATGATCGAGCACAGGTAAAGCCTACCTAGCAGGCGATCGCCGTGGCGTACCTGACGTGGGCGTGGCAGCACACCTCACACCCAATCCCCGCAGCGTACCTGGCGTGGGCGTGGCAGCACACCTGACACCCAATCCCCGCAGCGTACCTGGCGTGGGCGTGGCAGCACACCTGACACCCAATCCCCGCGGTGTACCTGGCGTGGGCGTGGCAGCACACCTGACACCCAATCCCCGCGGCGTACCTGGCGTGGGCGTGGCAGCACACCTGACACCCAATCCCCACGGCGTACCTGGCGTGGGCGTGGCAGCACACCTGACACCCAATCCCCGCAGCGTACCTGGCGTGGGCGTGGCAGCACACCTGAC